GGCTGACGGGAAAGTGGTAGGAAGGGCGAGGCAGAGAGCTCGCCCGGGCAGCCGCCCTCGGGAGGCTCCATCGCCGCCCTGCGGGCCAGGGCCTCGCCGAGGCAGCAGAGAACCGAAAGGCCTAACGGTGGGGCCAAAGCGACAAACCCTACGGAGAAGTGGGGTGTGTTAAAGCACACCTGAGCCACGGAGGAGCCTGAGCAAGGCGAGGAGCTGCATCCACCCGTGCTGCTCCGTGCGGAGCGAGGCCCTTTGTTGGAGGCCCTCCGTGCGGAGGAAGGCCCTGTTGCAGTGAGACGTTCTCCGTAGTCTATTGCCTGTGCCACGAGCTGACCGCTCCTGTCAGCTGTGATTAAAAAAAAAAAAAAACAAACCACACAACACAACAAAAGAGCAGCCCCTTTTACTGTCTCCGTCCCTGTTAGGATGAGCTGCCGTTCTGAGTTACTGCTCCCCGTGCCACTGGGCTCTGAGGACCAGGGAGCAACGGCGTTTTGGGAACCCCCCCTTTCAGCTGGTATGCGATGGGACTGAACTGCTCCGTGTGATTGGGCATCTGGAGACAGTTGTGTGTCAGAACACAAAAATCTTACTTGTACTGAAAGCCGCAAGCGCTGGAAAGACTTGTACGTGCATTAATTACCACGGATAGTCCATCACTGGCCCCGGGCAGGGCGTAACTTCGAGATACCGTTCCAGGTTGTCCTCATGTCCGGGGGCTGATCTGTAAAAGTCGGATGTGTTGGGTGCTGTAAATTAGCTAATCTCGAAATTAGTTTTACCTGAACACCCACTCTTCAAAAATAAAAGTATACAGCCTCTTCGTGCTCGTGTCTCACCATTGATTTGAAATGTGTAGTATGTATTCATAATATGTGCATTTGTATTCATAAAGTAAGAAAATTAAATTCAGTTGCTGAAAATGAGACAAACAGAAACAAAAAAGAACCAATGCAGTGGTAAAATAAACCTTACCTACCAAAACGTGGCATTCACCACCTTTCTCGCTCACCTCTTTGAAAAAGAGTAAATGCAGTTCCACAGGACGTATACATTCGGCTTCTTTTCAAATGGAAAGCCTCCTGTTCGCAAGATACAATTAGTTTTCCAAATAGGAGGTTACTTGAGCCGCGGGTTCGCCAGGATACATCCCCCTACAATCCTGTTAACATTAAAGCAGATCGTCTACTGAGGTGTTGTCAAGTGGATTGCCACAGGCTAACTAAAATACAATAATAATAAAATTGACTTGTGTGCGAGAACAAGGTATAGGAGTAAGCAGCTCACCAGGTGAGCGAGGACGGGGGATTTGGGCTGCTGCGGGAGCCCTCTTCTTGAATCACAGGATAATTTTGCCTAGAAGGCACCGTGGGAGGCCACCCACTCTGGCACCCCGCTCACCGAGACACCAACATGGGTCATGCTCCGAGGGCTCCGTCCCTGCAGTTTGTCTGGGCCAGTTTGCTACAGCGGTGCAGTAACTAACCGATACTAATTACAGCCGATTTGGGTTAAAATTAATGGGGGTTTTGCTATTTCTCTTCTCATCTTCCTCCCAGCTCATCTACTTCAATTTAAGGTGACACACTTGTAGCATGCGACAAGAGTATTTAAGCAAAACCAGAAAAACTAACAATCTTTTTTTTTTTTCCTTCCTTTGTACCCCGTAGTGGAGACATTATTAATTTGCAACCTGTGCACCACTTGCGTCTATAGAAATAACACCCAGATGGATGTCAAAGTCAAAAGAGGAGAGCAGGGCATCAACCACCTTTCCCATTTACTCCACTTAAAATCTCCCTAGGAAACCAGAGAAGGAGCAGCGGTTTTGTCTAACCTTTGGTTTGGTTCATTTCTTACTATCTTTAAGAAGCAATTACTTCTAAAGGTGGTCCTTAAAGTAGGAAGAGCAGCGGTTTGGCAGTGCAGCATAGGGACGATATGCGCAGGGACTGGTGCAGCGGCAGAGGCCGGGAAACCCACCGAGGGTGGTGGTGCTGTCACCGGCAGAAGAACGGCATCGCTAATTGATGAGACATCTCAGCCGAGAGGAGCTGTACAGATGCAGATAAAACATTCGTTTGATTTGGCTTGAAAATGGAAACTAGTGTCAAAATTTAAAATGAAGCTTTGGCAGCACCCGAGCGACGGACAGACTGGATCGGGAAGGTGAATGGTGATGGTGAAAGAGGCTGCGGCTGTTTGCATGTACATTTACCTGGTGTAATGCCAACAGGAATACATGGCTAAAAACCACCCAAAAACCCGCTCCACGTGGCACTGAGCCGCTCACAAAGCAGACTGCCGTTGCAGAAGTCCACCCAGTGCTGCCGAAGGGGAGCGGTGCAGCCCCAGCGTGTTCTTGTGCGTACAGAGTCGCTTTTAATTCAATTAGAGTCTTCCATTACTGAGGAAATAAATGTGGGAGGAAACAAAGGACAGACGCAGAGAAGCAAAACAGGGGTAGAAGTAGGAGATATATGCTTACTGCGTCTTGTTTGGCTCCATGGGGCTTTAGAAGGGCTGTCATATATCATGACATTTATTATTTCTGCCATGGACTAGGATGAGAAGTCCATTACAATATCGATCATTGTACTCTGCTCAACTCTACGCTATGTAATACTCAGCATAGCTGAAAAAGCTTACAAGTGATTTAGAAATAGCTGTACAGGGAGAATTGAGGAAGAAATCGGAGTCAACATGGTTTCCCTTAATGGAATTCTCTTTTTAGTAAGCTTTTACGAAAGTTAGGAAATTGCATTTTAAACACGGTTAAAGCCACAGCACAGTTGCAGTCGAGCAATCAGAAGCTACAGACACAATAAAGATTTCCTATGCGATCTTAATTTACAGGCTGACATAATGACATAATTTTCAGCTGCGTTGCCACGTAGCTGTCACGTAACACCTTCACCGGGCTCCTCCTCCTCTCACTGGTCAATAATTTCTTCCCCGATGAACTCGGGGCCAAAATCTTAAAAGACATCAAACCGCTTACCCTTCTGTGACATCAAAAAGGCTAATTTCAAACCTGAAAATCCAAATATTTCAATTTAACCTGCAATAAGGGAGGATGGCAATCATGGGGTGGGGCAGCACAAGGGAGGCGCTAGCTGTTATCGTTGATGTAGCGTTAGCGGTACCTGGCAGCGGGAGCAGGACGCCGTTCCGGCATTGCAGCAGCAGCGAGGACAGAGCTGTCCTGGAGCCGGTAGATCATCTCAGGATCTCAGGCCGACCTGTGCCCTAAACGCAGAGCTGCTGCACGAGTGAGAGCTCCGCTGCCCCGCGGGGTTGCTTGGAGAAGACTTGTCCTCGAGGTTATAATTTCCTTCCTCTTCCTGGTGGGTCTGCAGCCAGCTCTGGACAGGGAGATGTGATGGAAAACCATCCTTACCTGTCTGTCTTCTTTCTTACCTGCAGTCTGCTTTTTACTGCTGATCCAGCCGTGGGTGGACGCTAGAAGTTCTCTTCATCGTCCTTCTTTAATGTGCTGTCTGTTCCATCCCCAGCTTTGCCTGTAACACGTTATTCACGCAGAGCAGCAGGAAGGTCTGCATCAGAAGATCCTTCAGCACTGGGGAAAGCCGCATACTGGGAGAGGAGCCAAGGGAGGCTAATGACCTGGCTTGTGCTCTCGTGGCAGCACGTGCTGGTGCTGCTCCATCTCTTCTATGTTCTTGCATATAGCTTTCAGGGGACCCTTCTCATGTTAGGGCCCGATTTCAGACATTCATCCCTAAAAGGGAGGAATGACAGACCAGCCAGGATGTCCACAAGGAAGGCACTTGGGTATCACACTGATGGTAAGAAACAAAGCTACACAGCTAGATTACACCAGGTGTGAGTGTCATAACAATAAAACTTGAGGTAGCCTGAAATCTTATCTTTTTTTCTTCTTTTTTGTTTTGTTTTGTTGTGTTTTTTTTTTTTCTCCTTAAATACACTGAATCATACCAACAGGTACAGGATCTAAACGTCTGGTATGAATGATCAAGCCTTGAGTACGGGATAATTAGTTCTGATTTAGAAATAATACAATGTGTATCTGAATATAGGTGCTTTAACAAAAAGAGATCAAAATCGTATTCTTGGTTTCTTTGCACGCAGCTGAGGTTCAGATATGGCTCTACCCATGGCCAAACGGTGGTACTAGCCTGGGGCTCAGCCAAGCGTTTGCAGTAGCGAGCAGTAAAAGTTGGATTTTTGTGGTGACTCGGACCATATCAACAGGTCAGGGACCAGGTTACGCACTAGGGTCAGGGCTCTGAGTGTGACGGGAGCGGGATGTTGGAGTACCTGGGTTGGCATGGCCACGCTTTGGGGAGGGAAGGAAGAAAGCAGACAGGGTGTAAAAAGGATGCTTCTCCCGTGGAGTTCTATGACCTGGTGCAGGGATGAGCTGTCTCTGCTTGCCCACCTTGGTGCTGGACGTGGGCTAGAGACATAGCTTTAAAGAGAAGAGGGAAAAACTGTTTACCAGGTGTTACCAAGGGGAAATAGTATCCTAAACATTTTCACTAGCCCTTGCCAATATTCAGGACAATCCTTACCAAACAAAGGCCTCGGTCCTTAAACAGGATATAATCAGCAGATAAACTGAATTCTACCAACTTCTGTATATTGTGTACATACACTGCTTTGCGGCAAGCAACATTTTAGGTGAAGGATCTCATTGGCACTCCCAGGTGCTGTTTCCTCCCTGGGAAGCATGACTCCAGCGCATGTCTTACGCACTGATTGCGTCTCCGCCTGTGCTGTCTTCTGAATTTTTTTTCCTAGAAAAAATTGCCCCCAAAAGTCGGCATACACATACTTTCTGTGCCCTGATGGTCCCAAGGGTGAGACCAACTCCCACTAAAAGTTTGGAGATGGTGGGGCTGAGATGGCTCAGGCAGGACCATGTCGGTGAAGAGCTCCATAAGCCATGGGCATGTAAAGCTGGCAAGGCAGACTACACATAACCGTCTCGGCTGCTCTGCTGCAGTGATGCCAGATGCCCTTGCCCCATGAGCTTGGCTACAATGCCTCCTCCTGGAATATCATTTGCTGTTCTACACTACTACTG